CCGTCCTCCTACCTGGAGCCCCCACCGGCCACCGCCTCCCAGCCCTATCTGCCGCCCCCTGCCCAGGGCTACATGGCGCACCCCCAGCCCTACCTGCTCCCCTCCCAGGCCTCCCCTTCCCAGCCAGCCCAGCCCAGCCTGGCACCCTCCGGGCCTCCCCCGGCCAAGCCGTCGCAGGCCCATTTTCCCCCACCCCAGCCGTCCTTGTCCCAGCCGGAGGCCACTCAGAGTGCTGCCAAAGAGACCGGTGGCGCCGAGCAGCCGGACCCCTCCACCATGACCCCCCAGGTAAGGCAATGCCCCTTCCACACTCGCCCCCGCGGGCCCGGCTGGCAGCAGGGAGTCACCAGGGCAGCGGTGGCGATGAGCCGCTGTGGGTGCCGGCTGTTGCAAAGGCCTCCACGGAAGGGCAGTTTTGCATAATACTTAAAGGGTTTGGATATAACCCTTGAAGTCCGGGAATGGCACAGCTCAGGCGAGGCTCTGTAAATGCTTCTGTATCCAGTGGTGGTTGTCAGGGTGTAACAAATTGTCATTTTTCAGGAGTAAATGAGTTGTTTAGGGAAAAGGCTAACTCCTGGCTGAATTTTAGTTTCTCGGTGGGTTTTGTTGGTCTATGGAGAATTGCTTTGCAGTGTACAGCATGTGGGCAGCCTGCAGTGAACCTCTGCTGACTTCGCCTGGCTTGTTGTGAAATGCAACAGTCTGTTTGCTTATCCCATGCTGCAAGATCGGTGTCTCTTGTCGTGAGTGATTTCTTCCTGTAGTTTTTCTCTTGGGGTCATGTTTCAGTTGCCTATCCGATTTGTATGGAATAGTGACTGTTTTAATCTTACCACAAAAGCTGCAAAAGTGTTTCTGTCATCGTATATAGTTGCCCTTAGACGTACACATTTTGTGCTACGTGTGCTTGATCTTCTAGTGTAAAATTGTAGGGGCATTGGAGGGAAATGTTCTGAAATGCTTTTGAGGTGAAAAGTATTGTTAACGCAGTGTGCTTTTTATGTGTACACGAGTGCCTGCAAAATGTTAGCATGCCTCGCGTCCTAAATGTGAGCAGTTCCAGTGAACTTGATATGCCTGTTCATATGCGTTAATTTACGGACAGTCCAAAGTTGCTTGAGGTTAAACATGCACAAAGAGGCATGCACGCATGTTGAGGTCCTCGGCTATGTAGACAGACCAGATCCACTGAGACTTTTGCATGGTTTTACAGTCAGCGGGTAGAGATACAGCTGCAAGAACAAAGCTGAAGAGCATGCGTTACAAAGTTAATTGACTTTATTAAGGTGGCAAATTGATTTTAGGATTCTGATTTGAAGCTAAGTTTGCAAGAATCCTGTTGCATGATATTGAAGCCACTGACATTTTAAATGTGTTAATTTTGGGGACACCTTTTAAATTATATCCATCAAAGTTTCATACCAATACCTGAAGACATTTGGGAATGTGTCATTTTTAGGTTTGCACCATACAGCTAACTAACCACTGCATCGCAAAGAAGTGCTTTTAGTTCATGAATTTTATTTTACAAAGGTTTTAGACAGTACTAGTTGATCTTTTACAGTGATAGCAATGGGACTTACTAAATTTTTTAATGACAAAAAAACAAAACCTTGAAAAATTGGGTGTAGAATGTGGTGTTAATTCAGTATTGATGCTGCTTGCTGACTTCTTAAATTATTGAACTCAAGATCAACCAGTAAACTGTAATTCCTCCCTCCTTATGCAGCCTGAAATTTCACTGATGTTATTTAATTGTTCCTCAACCGTTTTCTCCTTTCCAGGAGGGTCGCAAGTGATGCATTATTGTGGTGTGCACATAGAAGCAGCGGAATATTGATGAATTTTGCAGTCTGTTTTATGAGTGTTTATACAAACAACTTCTACCTTTAGTTTGTTTACTCTCATGCACAATTCAATGTTAATTCAAAAGGAATATGGTACTTTGCTGGTTATAAATTTGTTGTAACAGATTGATATGATTTTATCTGTCTTAGGCTGTAAAATGAGACAGTTTGGGGCAACAAGGCCTTACACAATAGGAAAAGGAAAAGCAAAGCATAGTGATGCTTTCTTACTAATGATCTTAAAAGCTGAGTAGAGAAATACAGTAATTTGTCATTTATAAAATCCTATTAAGCCTTTGTTTGAACTGGTAATTGAAAACAATTCTGTGTGTTCTCATCCCAGAATAACAGTGGCTGCAGTCAAAACAGATCAGTGTTTTTCTCTTAACATAGCAAATATGCAGTTTGCCATGAGATAGTGTTCTGTGATTTCCCTTTCCTATCTAAAAATAAGATATCGCTCTTTGCCTTGACAATATTGCGAGTTTAGTGTAGTTTCTCACATGGGTGTACAGTTGGAGTAAATTGCTGGATTCTTGTGTTTCTCTATGATCAGATGCATCTTTTGTCAAGTCCTGTTAGAATAGTTGTGGTATTTCATTAATGCACCATCTGATATTTGGGTACTATATGCTGCTATTTATTTACAGTAGTAAACAATTACATGCAGGTGCATCTGTACCCATAGATATGCATTTATCTACGTCTGTTAAAGCTACCTTAGCGTTACTATGTCACCTTTCAGCAGACTGCTGCACTGTTTAAAATCCCTCCTTTGTTTTGTAAAGGGTGCTAAACCATTATTTGTCTGTCTTCACTGAAAAAGGAACAAATGTTCCCCCAAATAGGCGTTATGTTATTGCCTAGGGTCACCTAAAATTAATTTTCAAGTTGTCTTGTCTTTTGGCATGGGCTCTACGTTACTGTTTTTGGTGGTATGTCCTGTGGTCAGGAGCTGATAGTTCTGGTTTCAGTGTTCCCTGTACGATGCAACAGGCATAGTCTCTTGGTCAGCCAAAGATAGAAAAAGGCATATGTCGATGCTGGTGCGTTCTTTGGGCTTAAGGATTGTAACTGGATTTGAAGAATGACGGTCATTCTGAGGAGATAAACACTCAAATAACTGAACTTCTCGCTGCTTGTAATCCTCAGTGCTAGCACTTCTGTTTTGTTCAGACTGAGCTGTAGAAATCTACATTTCCACTTTTCTCACACTTTTTAGTTAGAACCTGCAATACGTGTGTTCCCTGATTCCATCTACTCTGAAAAATAGGTGACAGGATATTATCATTGTAAAGCTCTTTGTGTGAACCCCTGGTCATATTGTGGTTTTTAGCCCTTTGGTAGAATGAGGAGCAAACAGAATGGATCTGTGGAGACAACGATTTCATGGCAGTAGAAGAGGTGCTCATCAAACATAGCATCCTGCACCTTCATGGTAAATTACCTTATAATGGCTTTTGAGAGGGATAATTGAATCACCTTTTGTATAGCTGGGGTGTATGCTTCTCCCTGTTTTGAAAGTTCCACCTACTACAGCATGTTGTAGAAGGTTTCTGAGAGAGTCCACGCTGGAGCGTGAATGTGCATCTTCCACCCAAAGCCATGGGACCTCTTGTGAGTCATATCCTTGTTAAAGATTCTTGGTAGGAGTTAATTGCAGGATCAACAAAGTTGAAGCATAGCCTCTCCTTTTGTTGACCTCATCTCCAAGTTACAGTTTTACAGAAGTTTTTTTTTTTGTTTTTTTTTTTTAATACAGCTCCACGTTTAATTGTGTCTGCTAGATTGCTACCAATAGAAAAGATCGTTCCTGGTTTGAGCGTGAGGTAGGCTTTTGGAGAAAGCTTGCACTTCTTTTAAACCTGTTTTAAGATTAGCAGAATGGTTCTGTTTTGAGAAATCTCATCAGACAGCACCTACCACTTTGGTGTTGTCACACTTAGTTTAAAATATGTGCATCTTTTGGACTCTTTTCTGTTCCTGAGTGGGCTTTATATCAATGTCTTTTCTTAACTGTACATGCTTGGATGGAAGGGAAGAACAGAGGATATGAAAGAATATATGAAAGATATGGAGCAGTCCTGGATTCTCAGAGGTGGTGGAGTTGACATGAGAGCACAAGAATGGTTGCACTAGGTCAGACCAAAAGTATAGTACTTTATCGTTCTGTCTTTGACAGTGACTGAAGGAGATGCTAAGAGAATAACTTAAAAATAAAGTGTAAAATGATATTTCCCTAAAATGTAGGAGCTGCCTTAGATGCAACTGGTATCTTAATTTTTAAAATATGTAGATTTTTTTTTTTTTCTGTGAGCTTGTGGAGCTATGTTGAATCCACAAACCTTTAGCCCTTGCAGTGGTCTCTGGCAGGAACTTTGGTAGCACAAGGCTATGTCAGGTGAAGAGCTGCCTCCCGCCTGTTTTGAATGTGTGTCCTGCTCGTCTGATTTGATGCCTAATATTTCTTGTATTAGAAGGGATAAGGAACTGTTGGTTTCTATTCAGGTCTCTTTAAGATACACCACTACTTAAGTGGTGAGATACTTATCTTTAGTCTTTTGTTCTTTATGTTGGTGGCAACTTACAGCTCATGCAAGATACTGTCATCTGGCCTGAGTACTCTAATTCTAGCCTGAGATATTTAAAACTGAATGCTTGATCACTTCTTAAATGGATAATTTTTTGTGTTCAACCATATCTATTTACCTCTTCAGCTGTTGAATGAATTAGAATTAATGAGAATTCAGATGATAAGTAATCCTTACTATATCCTGATTCCGATGGTTCTTTTTCCTTTCCACAGCCTTTATTCAAGTGTCTCCACTGCAGGTTCTCAGCTTTCGTTTTCACTCTACTTGATGTCTGTATTCTCTGTTTGTCCTCTTCATCTGTTTGTACATTTCCTACTTTTTCTCTTTACTGCTCCCTGACTCATACTTGTCCTCCGTTTTCCCTTAATTTTACCTAAGTTAGTCTCATAATAAGTACCTATAGTTGTTAGCAATAAAAAGCACTAAAAATAATAAGTATGGTACTTATCACGTGTCTGTAGTAATTTGACTTATTGTTCTCTTAAGATGTGAGCTCTTTGAGGTGGGGAATAAGTTCTGCTGTGGGTACTATGCCTGGCATAGTGGTTTCTGAATTTTGATTCGATCTTCTGACATCCATTGCAATACTGATGAAGTGAGTGTTCCCTCAAAACAGATTTAAAAACTTTTCTAGAGAAGATTCTAGTGACTATCATGAATTAATTTTCATAGTTTTTCCCAGGAAAGCTGTCTCAGAAAATTTCTGTCTATTGCAGGAACAGCAGCAATACTGGTACCAGCAGCACCTGCTTAGCCTGCAGCAAAGAGCAAAAGCCCATGCTCAGGGACAGCAGCAAATGAAAGGTCCAGTAGCAAAGGATGCATCTGAGCAGAGAACAAAGTCTGAAGAAGGAAATATGAGTGCTTCAGCTCAGCAGTCTGAACCTCCTCTGCTTAATGAATCCCTGCCTCCAGCTTCCAAAGAAGACGAGTCTTCTCTTACGTCCACTGAAACCCAAGTAGGCTTTGTAAAGCAATGCCACTCCATTTGTTGTGCTAGATGGGACAAAGAAACAGGAAAATAATGCTATCAAATTCTCGTGGATACTGTGTAACAGTAGCTAAGTATGGTAAAGCAGTTGTAAAAGAACATTTGCTAAGGCTGGACCAATTAAAAAAATAAAAATATACTCCTTTCATATAGACTTATATCGTCACTCGCACATGCACCCGAGCATCTCCAAGCTTGATTCACCTGCGTCTTCCCCAACATTGTCATCTCAGTCTGTGAGAAACACTTTGTGATACCTAAGTGCAAAATCAATTACTCAGTAGATGAGGAGTGCTATCTTTAAGGCACTGTTTCTTAATTAGTCTCTGGCAGTTTGTCAGTTCTGGCTCCCCTTCTCTCTGTGTGTTATAGTTTGTCTGGAAGCCAAGAACTTGGCACAGAATATTTTTGTCAGCATGCTTAATGACAGTTACTACATAATGATGGAAGTCATGATTGATGTTTGAACAGATTACTATAGGGTAGTAGCTTACCCTGCAGCATGTGCTCCACTGTAACTTACAATGTGTGGGTTCCTACCAAGTAGCAAAAATAATGCACTTGGAGTTTCTTTACCTGGTCATGAAAAAACACTGTAGTTTCATTGTATTTGCTGTAAGCAACAGATAACAGATCTGCATTAATCTCTTTCCTGTAGGTAGTTTCTGTATGTTTGAATATCCTTATTGCCATCAGCCTAACCTTTAGATCAGACTATTCAGAATAAATGAAATAAAAATCAGCTTTCCAAAAGCTGTGGGTAGCCAGAACACTGAAATACAAAGTGATAAGATAATGAACACCATGAAAGTTCCTGTAAACTGGGTAGTGACCAAGTGTGTTTTCCTTTTGACAGAAGGAGCTTTCCTTTATTTATAGTATTTGCCTTTTTCTCTAGCTCAATATTGAACCTCCTGATGACCCTGAGGAAGATTTGAGATTGCAGCAATTGCAAGCAGCAGCAGCTCAATGGCAGCAGCATCCCCATCACCGGGTTGGATTTCAATATCAGAGAATAATGCAGAAGCATGCCCAGCTGCAGCAGATAGTACAGCAATACCAACAGATCATGCAACAGCCTCCAAACTTACAGGTGAAATACCAAGGAGATGGTGTTCAATATACTTCCTGGGTGACCTAGCACTCATGGTCTGCTGAAAAACAAGTAATTGAATAGTTTGTCATGGTTGGGTTATTTGTCTAGCTACTTTTTCTGCATGGGTAGAAGTCTGTATCCCATTTTCCTGCTGTCGCTCAACTTCTGAATGAGAAAAGAATCAAAATGCATCAAAGGAAGCGTGACCAATAGGTTGAGAGAGGTGATTCTCTCCCTCTACTCTGCTCTCATGAGACCCCACCTGGTGTATGGGGTTAGCTCTGGGACCCCCAACATAAGAAGGACATAGACCTGTTGGAGCAAGTCCAGAGGAGGGCCACAAAGATGATCAGAGGGCTGGAGCACCTCTCCTGTGAAGACAGGCTGAGAGAGTTCGGATTGTTCAGCTGGAGAAGAGAAGGCTCCAGGGAGACAGGGCCCACAGGAGAGATGAGGAGGGAGTTTTTACAAGGGCATGTAGTGATAGGACGAGGGGTAATGGCTTTAAACTGAAAGAAGGTAGATTTAGACTAGATATTAGGAAGAAATTCTTCACTGTGAGGGTGGTGAGACACTGGAACAGGTTGCCCAGAGAAGTTGTGGCTGCCCCATCCCTGGAGGTGTTCAAGGCCAGGCTGGATGAGGCTTTGAGCAACCTGGTCTAGTGGAAGGTGTCCCTGCCCATGGCAGGGGGGTTGGAACTAGATTATTAACTTTTAAGGTCCCTTCCAACCCAAACCATTCTAGGATTCTAAGTAGAAGTTGACTAGTGTATTAGAGAGTTGAGTCAGCTTTTTCTGGGTTATTAGAGTTTGCACATTAAGAATTCCTTTGTAACCTGGGCTGTCTGCTTGTTTTAAAAAAAAATCTCTTTAGGTGTGAACTGTAAAAATCTTGGACAAGATGAAGCCATTGATATTAGAAATTGTATCTACCTATAATGAAAGACAGTACCTCCTTGAAAGAAACTTCATGGTGCAAATACTGAGGTCTGGCAAAGGTGTAGAGAAAAGTAATTGGTGACAGCTGAAGGAACTCAGAGCCAGTTAATAGTAGAAACTGAAACCTTGAGAAATAGCCATGTATTGTATATATTGAAAGCATGAAGATTGATTTGGGCTTTAGCCATTGTTATCATGCAGTAATAATACAGCTTAGAGCCTTTTGATTATAGCTTTCTTCAGCTATCCTGTTGAAAAAAAAAAAGAAAAAGAAAAAAAAGCCTTTTATACATAAATGCCCTGTAGTCATAAAATACGTACATCGTCACAGTGACTTTAGACATCACAGTTGGTGTTTGCTTTTGTTTCAGTGTAGTTCTTTCTCAAGCTTCTGCCCACATCAGAAGTTGTGATATTACAAGTGATACTGAAATATGTGTCTCTGAGAAACTAAGATGGTATTTTGAAGCTATTGTCTTCTCGTTGCAGACAATGTCAGTGGACATGCAGCTGCGACATTATGAGGCACAGCAAAAACAGTTCCAGCAGCTTCATAAGGATTGGGAGCGATCAATGAACCAACAGTGGCAGCATCAGCTTCAAACCTACCCTCACAAAGACCAGCTTCAAGAGTACGAGAAACAGTGGAAAGCGTGGGATGAACAGATGAAGGTCACTCAGTCCCATCTGCAGGAGAAAGTGAGCTCACTCCAAAATCTGAAGAATCAATATCCTGCAAATGTCTCGCTGCCACCACCATTTGTTCCATATTCTCAAACCACTCAAGGGGGCATTCCTATTGTGCCTCCAGCTCTACCTTCAACTACACCTCCGCTAGTTCCCCCACCTCTCTCCTCTGTTTCTCAGTTATCTAATTCCTCTGTCCCTTCAGGATCCAGTTCTCAAAGCAGTCAATCTACTGAGACACCAAGGCCAGCTCTGCTTCCCACCCCTGGCACCTATGCATCAAAAATAGCTAGTTCAACTATCTATTCACCTTATCATTCTCAAGTAAGTTCATCCTTTGGCTCTTCAGACCATGGAAAGTCTGAAGTTCATCTTAGTAAACAAACTGTCTCTACTTCATCTGAACAAGGATGTGGGGAACTGAAAGCCACTTCTGCAGTGTCTTCAACACATGCATCTACCATGCAGGATAAACCAGTGAGGTCGGGTGGATTGCTTCCAGATCCTCCCAGATCAGCACGTTTTGAAGGTCCCAGAGGCCCTAGGTAAGGATGTTTTTGTTGATTTATACATGTTCCAGGTTATCAGACTTTCAGTGATATATTAAGAAATGAAACATATATCTTATTTTCAAATCTTCCTGAGGTTTGCAAACTGTGCTTGTTTGGCAGAGGTTTTGTTTTTAAAGTATGTGTGCCATGCTCTGTATTTATCTTATTAAAGCAAAGCTAGGTAGATGCGTTTCACCTGAGCATTATCTAGAGCAGAGCTATTTTTTTTTTCCTAGTGAAATCCTTGGGCACCCTTTCCCAGCAACATAATATCCCTTTTGTGACAGTAGGAAGGCTGTTGTAAATTTTTGATGTCTTTGTTGTCCTTAGTTTAAAGATTATAACTCACACTTGAAAGAGTGATTCTGTATGAAAAGTGATCTAAAGTCCCAGCATTTTGTCTGTGGTACTTGGAACACAGTTTAGGAAAATCTAAACCAAAATGTTGGAAGGATAGTTTTTAAGGTGTTGCTATATATGGTAGCACTTTAATGGAGGCATTCTGAAAGGGATTCAGGAGAGTATTCAGCTATATATACAGTTGAATATATGTAGCTAATTATTAGCAATTTAGATGCAAATTTTTTTTTAGAAACAATAGGAAGTACTTTTTGTAATCCAACATTTATTGCAGAAAGAAATGAAAATTCAAAGCTGTTCCCCAGTACTTTAACTTCTAGTGAGAGAGAGTTGTAGCTGTATGATTGTCCTATTCAGTGCACTTTAAAATGGCAGCTTGCTAAGAGAGGTGGTGCTTGCCTTAAGTACAAATCAGTGGTTTTCTACACATGTAGCATGACTTAGCATTCGAACAATTATAAATGAGAGAGAAGGAAAGAAATTAAGATTTGAGCCTTGAGATCTTAGCATTAGGGTTCTTTGCCACTTTTTCTTTTGTATTACATCATGATGGTCTTGGTCTTGGTTTTGAAGGTTGCTGTCTTTATCTTTTGGTAAGGTAGAGTTTTGTACGAATTTAAATCTTCATTTTATCATGTGGATGGCCTGCTGCCTTAATGTAAAGCCAATGTTCTGGGTCTTTTGTGTGGTTTTATACCTGCTATATGTTTTAATCCAAGATCTTGGTTTTGGAATGTTTTTCTTACGTATTTGACATGATATCAGGTTGCAAAAACATCTGTTCTGTCTGGTCATTAGCTCGGGATGCATTGATATGATGCCTACTGAACCAAAGAACCATGTTCTGTAAAATTGTTTCTATCCTTGCATACTGTGGCAGACTTTACAGTCATATCTTCATGTTTATTTCTCTTCTCTTTGCTTCCAAGGTGATCATTCATGAATAATCATTCATGAATTGGTAGCAATGTCAATTGATTTTTCATAATTTTAAAATAATTATTTACCCCCTGATGGTTTTTTAAAAGTATTGTTTCTGGTCCTGGGAATTTGTTGGATGTACAGTTCTGAACAGACTGTTTTTATTATTTGCTAGTGCATGTCCTTCATGTGCATTGGTTTAGAGCTCAGTGATGTGCAATGATAGGCTATGAATAATCAACAATTTCTAGAATGCAAATAGAGGAGCTCTGGTTTTGAGCATACTTAAGGTATTTAATTTACACTGTAACCTTTGTGCTTTCCTGTATTGTGATTGCATGACCATTCTAGGGTTTTATCAAAGCTTTCCCAAAAGTCCGTTTACTGTTTTTTCTCAATATTGTTAGTAAAGAGAGCCTACATGGCATTTATCGACATAGCTAAGGAGGCTTGTTGCACACTGTCAAAACAAAAGTTCAACAAGAGTTGTTGATTACAACAAAACTTCCATTAAACAAAAGCTGAAAGCTTTTTTTCAAATGAGTTTTCCAGCTTTCTTTGTCAGACAGGTTTCAGACCTGAGGTATTTAAGCCAAATTTCATTTTAGGGTTACATAATCTGTAGGTGGCTTAAACTGGTCCTCAGTGGACAATATCGAATTGAAGAACATGCCTCTGTGCTTCTGCACTGGTTCAGTAGGGATTGATCCTAAGGCACAGCAGGGTTCATCAGTTAAAAGTGACTTTTGGTGTAGATGAAACTGCCTTTTAGAGGATTTTAATTTGACATGTTCATTTGAATAAAATTACCATTATATCATCTATAGATTTGATGGACCTCGAGGAAGAGGATATGACAAATTTGAAGGCCCAAGACAGAGAGGACCTCGTTTCGACTCCCAGCGCTCAGAAGGATACAGGTCACGTTTTGACCGACAGAATGCAGATGGGCAGTCTTCAAGTAGATGGGGGACTATCCCACGAGGACCAGCAGGACAATTTTATACTTCGACAAATGCATCACATGGACATGGTTCCCGACCTAGTGGTCCACGGTGGAGGGGGCCCAGGCCTCATTTGGGACAGCAGCAGCAACAGTCACAGACAGACTCACAGTCAGAAAGCAAAGAACCTTTTACAGACGTGACTGGCAATCAGCAGACTGTAAGCAGAACACAGTCTACTCCCGATGCACAGGATGCAGGTGTTGTTGAGCCAAATGAGGACCTGACAAACACACAAGAGGAACTATCCAAACCTGAAGTCAAAGAAACTGTTTCAGACCCTCCTAAAAAGTGGACATGGAGTTCGCATGATCCTAACGAGCAAGTAGAAGAGTCCAAAGCACCTACTCCACCTGTTCAGAGCCAGAAATCAACATCCCTTTCTAGCAACCCTGTAGCTTTGCAGTCAGGTAGTACAAGGACAGGCGGTGCAGTAACCCCTGTAACAGGAGATCAGGAGCTGGATTCCCCAGATGACCAGTTGGTTGCTTCAGATAGCACTGAGGACCTAACTGGACCAGAAAGCAGAGGGAAAGGGTCGTTTAGACATGAAGACAGAGGCAAGGGACCAGTAAGCAGAGGAAGAGGGCAGGGCAGACTGGATGATGGCCGTGGTAGAGGGCAGGGGGATGGCCGTGGCTGGGGAATGGGCCGTGGCCGGGGGATGGGAAGATTTGATGGTGGCCGGGGGATGGGAAGATTTGATGGTGGCCGGGGAATGGGCAGGATGGACGGTGGCCATGGCTGGGGAATGGGCAGGATGGA